ATACCTGTGTATGGGTTGGGGGAGGGGTAGAATGTTATTGCCACACTTCTTCAAGCCTGCATGTCTCTGTGGCGCAATCGGTTAGCGCGTTCGGCTGTTAACCGAAAGGTTGGTGGTTCAAGCCCACCCAGGGACGTTTTACACTTAAATTGACAAGGATACATCATATAGATGAAAAAACCTACTTTCTGATGCCAGAGGGAAGAGATAAAGAAAACTCTGTGAAAGAATAAACAGTGAGCGTTATCAGTTGTGACATAGCGACAGAAAAGAGCTGTACCTTTGACAAATCTAAATAAAACAGTGTCCAAAAGAAACTAATGAAGTTCACAACTTTGCTGACAGGTAGACATACTATTATTGGTATTTATACTTTTAGATTCTTCAACCCACAGAAAGTAGGTTTTTCATCTACGAGATGTATCCTTGTCAATTTAAGTGTAAAACGTCCCTGGGTGGGCTTGAACCACCACCTTTCGGTTAACAGCCGAACGCGCTAACCGATTGCGCCACAGAGACGTGTCTGTTGTGAGGGGGTGTGGCCTTGAGGTCCAGTCCCCTCCACCTGCAGTTCGTTTATTCTAGTATCATTTATTCCATGTAGAACTGCTGAATAATCATGTATGCAGACAGGGCACATGGACCACAGGGGGCAAGCTAGCCCCCTCCCCGGCAGGCTAAGCTAGCTAGCTATCTAAGAAGTATTAAAAATAAAACAAATTTTCATGGTGGAGCCTCATCTGTTTTTACAACCCTGTGTCAAATGATAGAAAAATAATAATCATAAACCTTGTAACCTTTCACTTATTTAGCATATATTGTGCATTATAACATTCCTTACTATTACCACCTGTAAGAGCTGAGTTGGTTCCAGTGACTGTACATGACTAACGAACATAACTGCAAACTCATTACAGCCGACATGTAGTTGTAATTAAATGCAGAGTTGTGTACTTCAGTGAACTTCATTAATTTCTTTTGGACACTGTTTTATTTAGATTTGTCACAGGTACAGCTCTTTTCTGCAGGTTATGTCACGACTGATAATGTTCACTGTTTATTCTTTCGCAGAGTTTTCTTGATCTCTTCCCTCTCACCACAGAAAGAATGTTTTTCATCTACAGGATGTATCCTTGTCAATTTAAGTGTAAAACGTCCCTGGGTGGGCTTGAACCACCAACCTTTCGGTTAACAGCCGAACGCGCTAACCGATTGCGCCACAGAGACATATCTGTTGGGAGGGGGTGTGGCCTACATCATCAATCCCCTCCCATCTGTATTAGTTATTTGTAATATTATTTTTTCAGGCTGATAAATAATAATGGTTCTACCTGTCTTCTGAATTCATATTTTTAAAAAGTGGCTCATTGTTAGCGTATTTGAACACTGCTTCCTAATTTATTTCTTTGTCTATTTTGGAAATTATGGAAATTGTCTCATTTATACTTGTCAAAGGTAAAGGAATGTACTGCTGGGTATGTCATCAGGTCAAAACATTATTATTGATCAACCTGAGTTCTAAATGGAATAAATGATACTATTATTCATATTGTTATTCATTTCTTTTATTTGTGGTATGGGGTACATGGTAAATATGGGGACCAGACTATCAGTATGTCTTAAACTGAACTTTAAGGAGACATCGTCTGCCCTTGGCCACATAATTTAATTCTTTCAAAGAGATGACTCCGTTCATACCCTTATCTTCGCATCTAATAGCATTTAGCACAACCTCAGAGAGTTGTTGGCATGGCTGCAGACTTTGGCTACATCCACACTAATATGATTTAGTTTTAAATCGCATCACTTTTGCTCCGTTTACACCTGGCCCCTAAAACGGAAACTTTTGGAAACACTGCTGGACCCGTTTTAATTTGAAAACTATTTGGTTGCGTTTTAATCTGCCTGAACAGAAAAGAAGACTTTAGGTAGAGATGACGTAAATAATCTACTTCCTGTTTACACCAGCATGCACATGACCAGTGTACCTGAATGGTCATGTGATATAAGTTTTCACGCGTTTAGTGTAGACGGAGTTTATTTCTGATGCGGAGCGGAAACGATCCTCTGAAACACCGTTTTAAACGTATTAATGTGGACGTAGCCTCTGATTCTTTTTCATTCCTTTAATCCTACAACCATAATCTATTGTGCACTGTTTATTGTGCAAAAACGCCACAGTGACCAATCGAAACATGTTTTTCGCCATAACTCAAGATTTCACATGCTGATTAACCCTAGACTGGTTGTTGGAGACACACAACCACAAGCTGGTGACTCTAGTTATTTCATGGGTTCAGCGTTGAATACAACACTTGCATGAATCTTTCCTTTTATTGATGAAAATAAAAACGAAAAAAGAAAGATCGGTGGTCTGCTAAGTGTATTCAGAGTTCAGCATAATTGAGGTCAAAAGCTTTGGATCCGAACAAGACTTGTCTAAACCTCCGGTGTCAGACAGCACCGTGGGCTACAACAATACTCTGGCTCTTTACTGTAGATGTTGGGAAGGTATGATAAAGGCCAGGTTCTTGACTTTGCAGGGGGATTACTCTTTTTGCTGATGGGTTTTCAAGTTGATCATTTCTTTTGTGTCTTTAAAAAAATAAAAATCATTTTCCTGTATTTAATATTTTAGCATTCAACAGTTTTACACAGAACTGTGGATTTGAAGGAAGAGAGGATTTCTTAATTGGTGATGTTTCACTGTTCTTTGTATTATTCTGAAAACAGTATTGATGAGACATATTGAAGAAAACATTAGGGACTTTGCTGTTGAGAGCAGAGTGAGTGGCTCTTAAAAGAGCCGTTATTGTGTTCAGAGGAGCTGCAGCAGAGTCTAAGCTCTCTCTCCGCGGATGCGGCGGGCCAGCTGGATGTCCTTGGGCATGATGGTGACCCTCTTGGCGTGGATGGCGCACAGGTTAGTGTCCTCGAACAGGCCGACCAGGTAAGCCTCGCTGGCCTCCTGCAGAGCCATGACAGCGGAGCTCTGGAAGCGCAGGTCGGTCTTGAAGTCCTGAGCGATTTCTCGGACCAGGCGCTGGAAGGGCAGCTTGCGGATCAGCAGCTCGGTGGATTTCTGGTAGCGACGGATCTCTCTCAGAGCCACGGTACCGGGCCTGTAACGGTGAGGCTTCTTCACGCCGCCGGTGGCCGGGGCGCTCTTACGGGCAGCCTTGGTGGCCAGCTGCTTCCTGGGGGCTTTGCCTCCGGTGGATTTACGAGCGGTCTGCTTGGTTCTCGCCATCTTGCTTCTTGGTTCTCAGAGCAGGAGAAAAGTAGGAGAGGAACCAGCGACCCTCGGCTCTTAAACCGTGGGGCCGGCTGTGACACGGTGACGCTGCTTCACACCCCCGGGTCCTGATTGGTGCGGGGCTCCTCCTGGAGCTCAGCGCCGCCCAGAGGAGCGACCATCCCGCCTGATCCTCGGCTGCTTATTGGACCACAGTGCTCTGAAGCTGTGTGGAAAGTCCAGAGCGGGCCGCCCTCTGCTGCTCTGCTGGAGCCTCTTCTCTGGTTGGTCTGGCGGGAACCGTCCCGCGCTCTCCGCGGACATATAAGCGAGGCTGTTGCTGTTTGCGCCACACTTTCTCTGAGTCGACACTGTAGAGAAAAGATCCTGAAAATGAGCGGACGCGGCAAAACCGGTGGAAAAGCCAGAGCTAAGGCCAAGACCCGCTCCTCCCGGGCCGGGCTCCAGTTCCCGGTCGGCCGTGTTCACAGGCTGCTGCGCAAAGGAAACTACGCGCAGCGTGTGGGTGCCGGCGCCCCCGTCTACCTGGCGGCGGTGCTGGAGTACCTGACCGCTGAGATCCTGGAGCTGGCTGGAAACGCCGCCCGCGACAACAAGAAGACCCGTATCATCCCCCGCCACCTGCAGCTGGCCGTCCGCAACGACGAGGAGCTCAACAAACTCCTGGGCGGAGTGACCATCGCTCAGGGAGGCGTGCTGCCCAACATCCAGGCTGTTCTGCTGCCCAAGAAGACGGAGAAGACCGCCAAGTCCAAGTAAAGCCGCTGAACTCAGCGACACTCAAAGGCTCTTTTAAGAGCCACATACTCACCTCTCACAAAGAGCAGCTCCTCCCGTCTCTCAACAACCTGCACAACATAATAATAATAATAATAATCATAATAATCATAATAATCATAATAATGAAGCAGCTGCACTCATCAGCTCTCTACTGTCTTCATACAAACATGTGGCTCCTCTTTCTCTGTCTCTGCACCTTCACCAGAAAACCTCATACAGACAATACAAGTGTACAAGCAGCAGCATAACTTCTAATGATATGATACACTACATCAACCACATCAACACAAACGCAAGCTGCTGTCCACTAACAGCTGATCATGCTGTTTGCCTCACTGTATATTCAAGCTGATCAATCCTTTACTTGTAATGTATTTAGATTATAAACAAATGTAAAAATATATATATTTATTAGTAAATAAATGAAAAATATTTTCTGGGACTTTTATTGTGCAATAATAATTTTTTTCTTCACACCACATTTATTTCCCAGCTCTTTATATTTCCATCTGTTATATTGAAATGAGGGGGCGCAGTTATCTCAGCTTCAGACCAAAGAAACAGCACCATTGTGTTTGTTGATCTGGTGTTAATATGTGAGCTGTAGGGTAAAGTGTTGTTTCAACATGGTGATGTGAGAGGTGCAGTGACAGTGTAGTGGAGCAGGAGCAGCAGCGTCCTCCTGTGCAGTGAAAAGACTTACAGCACCTGATATTCCCACTCTCCCATTCATGTACTCAGCAGACCGACCCTGCTCAGCTTCAGAGACCGTGCTCAGGGTGAGGGGGACAGACAGGGCATGTCTGAAACATGATGATCATCACCATCATCAACACTGCTGTGTTTTTCAAAATAAAGTTCTCTTTATACAGTGTAATAGTAAGTAAACGTAGCAAAGGTGTTGGTGGTGGTGTAGTTATCAGACAGTGTATTGTGATGATGATGATGATAGTGAGGAGGAAGCGGCTCTCTGTGGACAGGTGTGTGGCTCTTAAAAGAGCCTTTGATGAAGATCAACATGTGTCGGAGGGAGGACAGCTCACTTCTTCTTGGCTGCGGCCTTCTTGACTTTGGGTTTGGCGGCCTTCTTGGCGGGGGCCTTTTTGGCCGCAGGGGCCTTCTTGGCGGGGGATTTCTTGGCTGCAGGGGCCTTCTTGGCGGGCTTCTTGGGGCTCTTGGCGGCCTTCTTGGGGCTCTTGGTGGCCTTCTTAGCCGCTGCTGCAGGTTTCTTGACTTTCTTGGGGGACTTTTTAGCAGCTGCCGGCTTCTTTGCGGCCGCGGTCTTGGGCTTGGGCTTTTTGGCCGCTGCGGGTTTCTTGGCGGCGGGCTTCTTGGCTTTGGGAGCGGCCTTCTTGGCCGCCGGCTTCTTGGCCTTGGGTTCAGCCTTCTTGTTCATCTTGAAGGAGCCGGAGGCCCCGGTTCCCTTGGTCTGGACCAGAGTCCCCTTGGCCACCAGGCTCTTGATGGCCGTCTTGACGCGGGCCTTGTTCTTCTCCACGTCGTAGCCTCCGGCAGCCAGAGCCTTCTTGAGGGCGGCCGCGGACACGCCGCTCCGCTCCTTGGATGCGGCCACGGCATTAACGATGAGCTCCCCCAGGCTGGGGCCGACCTTCCTGGGCTTGGAAGCCTTCTTCTTGGCTGCTTTCGCCGGGGCGGCGGCTGGAGCGGGAGCGGGAGCGACCTCTGCCATTGTTTCCTGTGAGCTTCGTCTGTACTCGGAGCGGACTGATGGGGAGCTCGGAGCAGGAGGCGGCACTTGAACACACCATGAGAACCGTGGAGACTCAGTGCAGCCGTGGCTCCTGTGGTCGGGGTGAACGCCGGGACACTTGTGTTTTCTCCTGACGGATAAAAGGCTCGCAAAGCACCGTGGGAGAGGAGCTGGAGGCGGACAGTGGAGGAGCCGGGAGCGGACTCGGCTCTGTTCGTGTTAAAGTCGTCCAGAGCTCGGAGGCTCTCTGCTTTCTGTTTGTGGAGCCTCGAAACCTCAGCTGGTCACCGCGGTGGCCGCCGCTGCTCGGGGGCTTTTCCCGCTTATTTCTCTCCTAAAATGCTTTCAAATGCACCACAGCTCCACCAAAACCCCACTTCCAGCTGCTCCACATGTCTGTTCACAGATCCCGGGTCACAGCGAGCAGCTGCTGATGATCAGTCGGTCATAAAGTCAACTTATTCTCCGAGCAGCAAACACACTGCTGATGGCTGAGGCTCATGGTCACGTTGAACCAGACTGTCAGAGCTGTGAATGTAACGTGTCTGTAGCATGTTACTTTAGAAACACAGTGTGAGCTTTACATGGTTTCTATATCTAATAACAACCTGTGATATAGAATTCAGTGTAGTCAGTAATTGAATCTTCATTTGTTGGTTGTAAAGTCACATATTTGTGTGGCTGCTCTCCTGCCAGGTCTCTGGAAAAGACACTCTTTATCTCAGTGGGACTTCCTGCTAAAATAAATGACAAAAAAAATCAAATATCACGTCTCATCATTTTTATATTTTTATGATGTTATTTCATATTTAATGGTTAGTGCTAGGTTACCAAGGTAACGATACAACTATATAAAGATCATTACCAGGAGAACAAGTCAGACGGTGAGTGTGAGACTGTTAAATGTAAATCTGTAAATATCAATATATTCATGTAAATCCTGAGAGAGAAAGAAACTATTGATTTCTATGTGTATCAGTTCATCTGTATCAGTGGTGTCTATATAATTTGTATAATAAATATTTGATCCTGATTCCAGTTAGACCGTTGTCCATATGATTCATTTATTTACAGTTCTCTCTTCAGTATCTGAAGTTTCCTTTGACGGTGGTTTTCTTTTAGACTCAAGTTTTATTGAGACCTGGCTTTTATCCTCCAGATCCTTAAGTGTTTGTCAGCAATAAAAAAGTCAGTGAATGGACATCAGAGCTGTTTGAGTCTCTGCGTTGGAGTCAACCAGTCAACTGGCAGCTGTTACTTCAACATGGTCTTCTACACAACACAGAGACTGGAAGTGTCATGTGGTGAAACAGGTTGAACAGGGTTTTGTAATTAATGAGCAGACTGAACTCTGTCACATCAACACTTGATGCTGAGTGTGTATATAACGTGTAGTGTGTGTGTGTGTGTGTGTAGATCAATGTGTGAACCATCAACTCTTTGTGTTGTGTAACTGTGATTTTAACCTTTCCATCTCTTCAGTCAGAGCTGAAAAGAGACTCTGAAGAAAGTGAGTTTAAAACTGATCAGCTGGTTTCATAGTTTGACTGGTGAAAACATGATGATGAAGAGTAAACACCTTCATCAGGTGAGTGTCTCTCCACAGTCTTTCACAGCAAGTTATTCTCAAGTCAAATTCATGTCAGCCTCTCCAGGTTTCACAGTCAGCTGACTTCAACACACTGATCTTGTGTGTGGCAGTGTGGTTGAGAGCATTTTAATAGACAGCACTGATGTCAGCTAGTGGATGTCAAACAAATCATGTTCCTCTCTGTCTTACTGTTTTTATTGTGTCAACATAGCAGGTTGTGATCAGAGCAAACGTCTGATAAGAGCAGAGGAACACGGTGGAGCCCAGTACAGGTCCTGGATCAGCAGCTGCTGACAGTCTGCACCACACACTGACTCCTGGTTGTTACTGTGACTCCAGAGAGAACAAGTGAAGATGATGTGGACGTGTGTGTAACAACCCAAACACTGTTCAATCACATGTCAGTTTTCTGACTTCCTTGTATGACTTGGTGAAACTTCACACTCCCAGAATACACTGGGCCCAGGGACTGCTGTTCCACAATATACATTTATTTACAATACATGAACTAAACAGCTGGTCTGCAGTCAACAAACAGCAAGAGTTTCACTAGGAGGCCTCAGTGTAGGCCGTACTGAAGGAGCAGTGGATAAAATTACAAGTGTTTCAGTCCAGTGAAACACTGAATGTAGAAGTCACAGAGTGTTTCCCCGCCCCCTTTCATAGACCCTGCTCCCTCACCTGAGTCCTACTGCTACACTCTTGTTTCCTTCCCTTCCACACTTGTAAACAGTGAAGAAAGTGCTGCAGCTGTTATTGTGTGTGAGCTGCAACATGTTGAGCAGTAATGAGAGTCATGATGAGAGCTGTGATGTGTGTTTTAGAGTTTGTCTTCAGATGAAGTGAGTGGCTCTTAAAAGAGCCGTTGTATTGGAGCGAGTGCAGCAGCTGCGCTGTTTACTTGGAGCTGGTGTACTTGGTGACGGCCTTGGTGCCCTCGGACACGGCGTGCTTAGCCAGCTCACCGGGCAGCAGGAGACGCACGGCGGTCTGGATCTCCCTGGAGGTGATGGTGGAGCGCTTGTTGTAGTGAGCCAGACGAGACGCCTCGGCAGCGATGCGCTCAAAGATGTCGTTGACGAAGGAGTTCATGATGCTCATGGCCTTGGAGGAGATGCCGGTGTCGGGGTGGACCTGCTTGAGCACCTTGTACACGTAGATAGCATAGCTCTCCCTCCTGGTCTTTCTCTTCTTCTTGCCGCCCTTGCCGGCGGTCTTGGTCACAGCTTTCTTGGAGCCCTTCTTGGGGGCAGACTTGGCGGGTTCAGGCATCCTGGTTATTCAGAGCTTCACAGCAATGGATGAGTCGGTGGAGGAAGGAGCCGCTGTTCTTATTCAGGCTCCATGCAAATACCACTGTGTGGTCCCCCTCCTGTGATTGGTTGAGCTGCTCACTGGGCTGGATGGGGGGGTTATGTTTCCATGGTAACCTGCCTTTTAAAGTTGGCGCGCAGCCTGCAGCCAATTGGTGCAGAGGAAAGTTAGAAAATCCTCCTCATCAGCAGCAGCACATGAGACAATGAAAACAACAGATAACAAGAGGAAGATGAGGAGATCTCAATGTAGATGAATAATGTTCACATGACTGTTCTACAGCCTGGAGACAGTGAGTGAAGCTGTGGTAACACTTTGTGCTCCATGACTGAGACGCTCTCACACATGAAGGAGCTGCAACTGACAGGGATCACACAGTCCCTGTCAGACCAGGTCATGTGCATTTGTTTATTACACTGTTGTTCTTCATGAGAGACAGTGGTGGAGGAGATTTGTCTTTCAGTGTCTTAAACCTGAGGCTCTCACACTTCACATCAAGGACCCTAACTGACACAAATTAAACAGACCCCCATCTGATCAGATTTAGTCTCTGACCTCTGCAGGAGGTGAAATCATCAGTGGATTACAGTGATGTGAACACATGATGAAGACTACAGAGTTAACACATGATGTGTGTGTTGTGTGTTTATCTGTGGACAGGAGGCTGATAGAGGGAGTCCTCTCTCTCCTCTGACAGAGTCTCTGTAGTGCTGGTGAGAACATGAAGCAGCAGCTGATGACCTGTTTCATCTATAACTTCTGTCTCATCTGTTTCTTTGGGCCACATCAGGTCACATCTGGATAAATACATAGAATCATTTAATCTAACAAGCAGCAACATCACAGAAATAACAGGCTGATAAATAACGTGGTCTAGTGGACGACGTTGAAGACGATCTAATACTTGAACTAACTGACTCTTTTCTCCAGCTCAGACATTTTCACTCCTGCAGCCGTTTTGTTTTTTTATTAATGAATGACCTTTAACGTCACACTTTCTGGCACCAATGGATTAAAATAAGAGTTTGGGAACTTAGAGTCAGTTTGTTAAACCTTTCTGAATAACCCCAGGTGTTTGTTGAATCACGCGCGGTGTGTGTTCATGTGCAGACGGATCAGTGTTGGTGACTGTGTGTGGGAGATAGTTTCCTGCTGTAGTTGTGTAACAGCAAGTTTAGAGCAGAGACAGGAGGCTGATGGAGGGAGTCCTCTCTCCTCTGATGGTCTCTGTAGTGTGAGTGAGAACATGAAGCAGCAGCTGATGACCTGTGAGTGTGTGTGGTCGGAGGATGTGAGCTCTCAGTGAGTCGGTGTGTGGCTCTTAAAAGAGCCGTTGTGTTGTGGTGTAGATGTGGAGGAGTTTAACCGCCGAAGCCGTACAGAGTGCGGCCCTGCCTCTTGAGAGCGTACACCACGTCCATGGCGGTCACGGTCTTCCTCTTGGCGTGCTCGGTGTAGGTGACGGCATCACGGATCACGTTCTCCAGAAACACCTTCAACACACCGCGGGTCTCCTCGTAGATCAGACCGGAGATACGCTTCACTCCGCCACGGCGAGCCAGGCGGCGGATGGCGGGCTTGGTGATTCCCTGGATGTTATCACGGAGAACTTTACGGTGACGCTTGGCGCCTCCTTTACCGAGTCCTTTTCCTCCTTTGCCTCTTCCACTCATCTTGTCTGTTCAGTAGGTTTCTACTCAGTGCCGCTGACTGCGGAGTCACAGTGTTTGAAAGCCTCTCTGAGGACGTAATAGAAGACAGGGGCCGCTGATGATCAACTCTTTGCTGCATTAGCGCCACCTCCTGGACCACAGCAGGAGTTTAGACACAGCAGGACTGAGTCTGCAGTCACATGTTCTCTGAAGTGAATGTACAGAGGGAGAAACATGAAGAGTGAAAGTACTCATCATGCAGAATGCTCCTTTTCTCTCTCCTATAGGATCATGTTGTATTGGGTTTAGTTCCCCTGTTATTCTACAGCAGTAAAATATTCAATTATGTGAGTGAAACACAACAATTGATGTAATAACAAAATAAACAACATATAACATCATCTGTTTTGAATATTCTGTCACCCTAATTTAACAGTCGAGGATCCTCAGTCTGTTTGAA